CTTTTGTTCAAAGACAACTGTCTTAAAAAATAAACTGTGTTATTTTGTGTCATTTTTTTTAAATACTTTTGAAAATGAAAGAAATGTGAGACAGAAAGAACTTTGATTTTATTCACAAGCAACCACGGATGACTACAGAGCTACTAAATAATAGTTTCTCAGGTTTTGCTGCGGAATCAGATATTGTCGACAGTTCTCTATTTGTCCTTCTTGATTCAGTTTTTAGATCAAACATGGAAACCGGATTTGTCTACCAGGGCAGATATATGATAGAACAGTCAAGACAACGAATAACGTGAAATCAACTAAATGACTGGAGTACAGAGTTTGCAGAGAAACTGTAAAATCAAGAAAACAAAACTTATTTGTAGTTTTCACATCAAACGCTAAAAATTTTCAGCAGAATGCTATTTTAGCATTTGATATGAAAATCGCAAATACGTTTTCTCCACTATATTTGAATGCTATTGATTCACTGAAAAAGTTTTCAACTAGACATAATCGGCTGTTAAACGTTGGCCAGGCATGGTAGATGATTAATTTGATAAAAAGGGTTTTGATGTCTCTCACAAAAGTAAACCAACCTCGAATTGTATTCAAAATCGCAGGTTATATGTTGTCACGCAAGGTAAATAACGATGTTTATTTTGAACAAAGGGTCTGATGTTTTGCATAAAAGTAACGAAAATACTATTTGTAGTCGAAATCGCGTGCAAAAAATTGTCAAGTATGATAAATAAATGTGATTACCGTATACTGAACAAAGCTTCTTCTTTTGTTGTACAAAAATAAACAAAGGCTCTATTTGTGTTATAAGTTGTCACGTATGATAAATAACTTTGCCCTTACTGGACAAAGGTTTTCTGTCTTGTTATAAATTTGTTATAAAATTTCAAGTGTTGATTGATTTAACTTTTCTTGATCAAGAAATTTTTTATTTTGAAAACTTAAGAACAAAAAAGCCTCAACTCTTATGGAATAAATATAATTTGTGTTGCGACTGTGTGACGAGGAATGAACCAAAAATAGTTTCCGTCAAACTAGTTGTGAAAATTACAGATACTTTGTACAAAATAACGTTGATCGTTAAAAAGTCGTGCTTGGCCAAACTACAACTCGGAGTTTCACGGCATTCATACTTAAACTATCAAACGTAACAGAGCAAGAGATAACGTAAAATCAACTAAAGTCAACACTGACATGAGTACAGAGTTTTCAGAGAGGCTGTAAAAAATAATGAAGAAAACATAACTTATTTGCAGTTTTCACATCAAATTTGAAAATATTTCAACAGAATGCTATTTTAGTAATTGATGTGAAAACCGCAAATACGTTTTATTTATTATTTGAATGCTATTGGACAAGTTCGGTTATTAGAAGTTGGCCAGGCATGGTAGATCAAAATGCTTATTCTAAACAAAAGTTTTCTGTCTCTCACAAAAGCAAACACAAACACTATTTGCACATGGAATCGTGTGTTGTAAGTTGTCAAGTACGATACATGAATGTGCTTATTCTGAACAAAAGTTTCGCTGTCATATACAAAATTAAACGAAAACTTAATTTGTACTCGAAATGGCGTGTTATAAGTTATCAAGTTTGATAAATAACGATGCTTATTTTGAACAAAGGTTCGCTGTCTCGTACAAAAGTAAACGAAAACACTATTTGTAGTCGAAATCGCGAGATAAAAGGTTTCAATCGTGTTAAATAACGATGCTTATTCATAACAAAGAGTCTGCTGTATTGTACAAAAGTGAACAATAGTATGATATATAAAGGCACTAATGTATTTTACAAACGTGAACGAAAATTACATTCTGTTCATTTATTCTCTAAGAGAGATCAGTTGTGAAAATTTAGAGTGGGGTGCGGGTCATAGTCATTTCTGCACGCCCATAATATATCATTTGAAGTTAGACGAGCTTACTTCTTTCGGGAGATATCGCGTTTTAGCATTTTTGGACACATAGTAGACATAACGATCGTTTCAATGTTATGTTGTTGTTATTATTATTGTTATTATTTTTCGTCACCCTCATTATAAAATCGCTTTTCTCTCCGAATACTGGACCAATTGCTTTGAAATTTTCAGTGCATGGTTAAAGTTTGATTTCTTTTTTCCAGAAAACTATTAATTTTATTCATTCCCAAATTTTCTATGAATCCTAGGAGATCTGATATTTCATTCAAAATTTCGATGATCTAAAATTTACTCATGAGAACATTGTTTTGAAACTTATTTCAAGCGGTTGCGTGATCAAGCCTGCAGTTACGGTACTGCTAAGTTACCGGAGTTACCGTACCACAGGGAAATTGACTTATTCCTTTCGCGATCTTACTATTGCAGTAATGTAGGTTTCCTAGCAAATCTATCCTACCGTATTTGTTAATTTTGATAAGAGCAATTTGAATTGGGTTTTTATATGCCAGAGAAGAACCGTTCCACGATCGAATAGCAGGCATACATAGGTACTGGTAAACAGGCAACAGGTACTGGTAAGGTTTACGCTCTCATCTTGTCGTTACAATTCTGATGTAAACAACATAAATTTTGTAGCCTACTTTATTTTTTTTATTCGATAAGATGAAATGAATTGAGTTCACGGAAGAACCGTTCTGCAAACGAATTTCAGGTACTGGTAAGTTGGCGTACCGCATAGAATTATCGGGAAATCGATATTTTTTTTTCATTTTGCCTTGGTACCGTAATGGAGAAGTGACTTGGATCACTTGATATTTCAATTCACGTTGAAATTGGAAGTGGGACAAAACAGGCTTTTAGTGGCCCGGAGTAGGCTACCTGTCAATCAAGTCATCGAGTGGTGAGAAAACGTGTAGAAAGCCACGCCCACTCGTTACCTAATCCTGAAAAGGCGCTTTTCTCATTCATTACTGGACCAATTGCTCTGAAATTTTCAGTGCTTGAAGATAAAAAAATTTATCAGAAGGCTGTTACTTTCATTTACTTCAAACGTGTCCTCCGTATATTTGAGCATAGCTCTCTTGTTTTTTTCTCTTTTCTCTCGTTTGTCGAATTTTTTAATAAATTTCAAGAACAAGAAAAACTTCCGTCTCTTATCTAAACCGCGATAACAAGCATTGCAAAGTTATTTTCTAAATCCGACAAGCAGATCGATATAATCTGGGACAAGTTATTACAAGGAAGAACTTACTCAAAGGTAATTTATCAGCACAATTTGTGTTTTGTGAAGTTGCATGTTTTTGGTGGTAAGCTGGTATTTTTTTTGTACGCAAAAAGGCTCGACGTAAAAAGGCAGTCTGGTGCCTTTAATTATTAGTTTTTAATTTGTTTTTAAATTAGGGTGGCGTGCTAAAAAATGTTACCAGTTTTGAAATTTTTTAGAACAAACCTAAATTGCAAAACATGGAGAAAGACTAATACTACGGAGAAATGTATAAAAAAACGAGAATGACTGGAAATTACCAATACTTAATTGGGGGAACTACGAGAAAGTGACATTCACCGTCGTTTCAGCATTTTAGTATTCGCAATTTCCCGCATTTTAGGGCTGACTGTACTTAGTTTTGGAAGTAAAGTTTGTTCAATTTTGAACAGGTTAACTATTTCTCATACAAAATATTACCTTTTGAATAATTAAAACAGTGAATACGGTGCAATGAATAAATTCGCCTGAAATTGGTTATCTCTAGCATTCACCTTAGAAAAAATTAAAACTCTGTTTTTGATTGAAAAAAAAACGTTTTACCCTAACAGTAATGCCTTTTATATTTTGAAAGCGATGAGAAAATGAGAAAATCTGTATCGGATAATCTATTTATTGTAGATTGTTATTATTTTTACAGTTCAATGGCCCTTTATTTATCATAGACATGTGAAAGGAATGTAATCATAATTTAATTCACCAGTATTGTTTAATTTTTCTATTATTTGGACGACTCGCAACTAGAAACGGGTTTTACAAACTGTCGTTTTCTAGTGCCATGATGTTTTAGTACAGCCAAGGCACAAGTATGTTCAGAGTAATCACATTTTATGCAAATCAGAAAAATTAATTTAAGGCGTCATAATGCATTTTATAAAAGCTTGTATGACGCCATTGGAGAATACAAAAAGAGGCCTTACGAATGAAATAGAATACAGTATGGATAGACAGACTACGAACCAGGGAAAAGCATTTTATGCGCCCCGTGCTCGGAAGTACAACTGCATACAAAATTTTGATTGTGGTGGATTATTTAAAATATTCAAGCTACGAGTTGTTCAAAAAAAAAACAGTATAGTATACTGAGCTGATACTCTTCTAAAAATTTCATTTGGTTTTGGCTCTTTCAATTCGATGTGTGAATTGATTTATATTTTGGCTGATTGAAATCGTGATTTTGTTTATACAGTTTCAAACACAAATGGCTTCAATAAAAATTGTTCAACTGCTCTCCTTGGCTTTGTTTATCGCTTGTACGACAAATGGAGTGAATCAACAACGCATCTGCATGCAACTGGAAACCATTAATGTTGAAGAAGAAGAAGAATCTGTGATTGGACGTACAAGGTAGGAAATATAATGCGATCTTATACTTATGGTTGCAATTATAATGATTGAGACATCTTAGTAGTCCATGGGTAGTTCAGTGTCTTACAGTCTAAGAGTTAACCCAATCGACCGAAATTAATGAGAAATAAAACTATAAGATCTCGAACTCCATGCGCAGCAATATGCCAGAGGTGTAATAAATTGTTTTAATCCTCATAAACCATTCCTTGTCTGCGTAAAAAAGATTATCTGTTCAGAGTAAATCATTTAGGCATGTAAACACTGCTGCATATACACAAATATAAACAGGTCTTGACATAAGTGCTTTAGAGTAACCCTTTAACCCTTTAATATTCCAATGCTTATCCTAACTAAACTAAAAAATAAGAAACTGAAATCGAAACAGAAAATATTAAAATATACTTCAATTAAACATAATGAATATTATTTCTACTTTTTTAATTAAAAAGTACTTTTTATTTCAGAAATCCTTATTCCTATAGACCAGGAAAACGAGGCACAAAAGGCGATATTAGCCCACCAGGAGAAAAAGGATCGTCCGGAGAAGTTGATTACGGAAGAATGAACCGAGCTACTCAAGAAAATGTAGCAACCGGTAAGTTTCAAAATGACTGGTACAAAATTCGGTACTCCCGTAATGTGTGTACCAGGTTAGGTTAGGCTTGAATTTTATTCCGATTTTCCCTACGTTAGTTGTATTACGAGTTCGGGGATGTCTGTGTTAGCCAAGTGAATATCCTCCCTGCAATTGGTTTCAGACCGTTTACACAACTTGATGTAAAGTAGACTAACAAAATTAGTTACCTCCATATCGGTACACACACTTCTGGAGCGCCCAAAATTAACCAAAATTAGAATAAACTCATGTTTTCAAATTTTCACAAATTTTTAACTCAAATCACAAAATTAAATATCACAAGGTCATAGTTACAGGTTATAATTGTATATGGTATAATTTAAACAACAATTAATAGAAATTTTTTTTCTTCTTATTTTGATTCGAATCATGGAATTAAATTTTACAAAGTTATAAATTATGTTTTTTTTTCAAGTAAATAACAAAGCAATAACCCTCTTAAGTACATATATATACCGCAAGTGTACTTAAATCGACATAAGAACACGAGCTCTTAAATACTAATCGAAACATTGTTCAAAAATAAAAAATTGCCATTCAGTTTTGGACGTCTTCAAATTTTGTTTGCACAAATTATCTCTTCTGTTTGCCCAGTACATCGGTATAGACTAGGTGAGGCAAACTCAATATCCATAAGGTTCCCATTGATGCCCTGCACTCTAATACAACTTGATGTGTACGCCACGCGAATCGAATCTATTGTCTTATTTTCAGAATGCAATAGAGTGAACACGGGATTGATTGAAAGAATTAATAAAATGGAAGAAATGATTCGACAAATGAATAGCTCCATCCCCGATACTCTATTTTTGCTGAAGTTGCAATGTGAACTATTGAGAAAGAGTCAAAGTTACTTTTGATGAAATAAACACGGTTTTTATTCAAACAGTATGTACTAAGAAGTTCGACAGGAGAAGATACAACCATACACTCGATCACGATAACTGCACAGAACTTATTTTTTCCCAACCAAAATTGACAATATTTAAAATTAACCAGTCTTTGCTCTGGAAGAAGAAATAAGTTGATCATACTGTTTTTTTATTATAAAAAGCGCTGACGTTTTTAAAATTGTTCAGACCAAAATCACGATCCTTAAATTTGTAAAAAAAAAAGGGGGGGGGGGCTAACATCGTTATGTAAGTTTACCGAAGGACGAAACTCTATTGATTGTCGTTAGTAGATGCGTGATGCAAATGAAGTGTGCAATGCCACAAAAATGTTTAGTTTAACGAGAAATTCACTTTGTTTATTTTAGGACTCTGTGAAGTACAGTCTCGCGGTCATTGTTTCTGGTCAGTATTGCATTCATCTAGGGATGTCAATGTGAATGAAGCAAGAAGAATTTGAGAAAACAATGGGTTTCCGGCGAATATTTATAACAAGCAACATATAAACGATTTGATGATTAATATCCGCCAAATGATGCTTGGCAGTTATTCGTTGGTATGGACTGGCATGACTGTCGATACATCGGTGAGTAGTCCACAACGACCATTTTCCACAAGGAAGATGTTAACAATTTCAGGTTGAACGCTTTTGTAAGCATTTGTCACGATTCCAAGAGTTAAATTACAGATGCAATGATTCCAGCTTCCATTATTCATTCTCGTTTTACATTTGTATTTAACAGACAAATGCAGTTCTCATACGAGATCGAGAGGCGGCATCCCATGTCAAATGGAGGAATAGTCAGTTTCCTCAAAAAAAAATCAGGTTTGTATATTCTCGTTCGTCCTGTATCATCATCAAGCGATCAAGGGATGGGGAATGATCCACCTACACGAAATTAACACGGCGTGATATGCGAAAAATGATATGCAATGCATTTAAGATTTTCCCTGTTAAGGACTTATCAAGCGGCCACTTGTTTTTAAGATGCTATTAAAAGTATAATTCTGAATTTATAATTCAAAAATTAAATTTTTTTCAAAGTGTTTGTTCCATCGTACTCCACGAAATGGCGCACAAGATGCTTTATTCAGAACTGAGCTTTATTTTGTATAGAGGAAGAATTAGCGACATCTAGAGAAGAAGTTGAAGAACGAGTCTCATTTTGAACCAAAAATTAGAAAGTTGACACGGAATGACATTTTTCTTAACCCTTTTTAAGCCTCAAGCCCTGCCCATTTTATGGGTATTTTTAAACTTATTTTTTTATGTCAACCATTAATCCCTAAAGCTTTATTCATGGGTTTTTAAAAGCGTCTGCTAGAGTTCTATTCAGCAATATATCTTTAAAACACACCCCTCGAAAAAAAATTTTGCAAAAAAATTTCAAAAATTTCTAAAAAAAAAATTGGGACTTTGAGATATTCTGTGTACAGTAGAGGGTTAATAATTAATTCCTAGTTAATTAATTTTTTCTTCAACGTTTTCGTCAAGTTTTTCCTAACATAACTATACCAAAACGACTATTATAGCATAAATGGTTATCACTCTGAAATTCACAATTGTATTTACAGTATTGTCAAGTTCAAGGTCAAATTACCGATACTGATGACGTCACAGCTCTTATTATTACTGCACAGACCACCCCCAATGCAAAAAAATTAAATTTTTTCGACGGAAATGCGCGTAGAACGGCGTAACCAATCTCATACGCGCATTTACGCGTTAAAATTACCATTAATTTTACGTTTTTTTTACATACAAAAAATCTCCATACCTCTGCCAACTATGGAGCATTCGAAATCATATTTATCAAAACAACACAGCGCCAGGGATGGTCAGGGATAGTTAGTATGACTGAAAATACATGCTAAAACAATAATAAGTCGTTATAAAGGAGTATTTCCTGTCTGAAGGGAGTCACATTTTTCAGACGTCTGACAGGTGATTTTGAAATCCAGGATATTTATAGGATTCGCACTTTGCGTCACGGCTGGAAGGTTTTATCGCTTCTCTCATATCAGAGCATTACGTCGATAAACAGCTAAGAGCGATATTGACTCTATAAGTACATAAATTTTACAATTTATCTAAAAGTACACCCATATGGGCGTTCCGGTAGAAGGGTTAACATACGGGCTATTCCAAGTTACACTACAGGACAATTCCAGAAATTTTGCATGTTGTTGGATGCAATATCTTTTCACATTTTCAGCTACATGTTTTGTTTCATTGTCCAATCAGTTGCTTTATTGAATATGTAAAAAATTGCACAAAAGTTACACCCAAGACTTACTTAGTAGATAAAAAAAAATATAGTAAAATATAGCGTGACACTACAGGACGGCAAATCCACCATGCACTAACAGTACGTTGTGTTGTGCTGTAAATTTTTGCGATGGTACAGTAGGAGCCTATAATATTTTCTGGTGCAGTAGCTGAACTACCCCTCTATGTGTGGCTCAAGTTACTTAATGTAACACTGTAAATCCATGCCAATAATGTGCATATTGTATGTGACACTACAGGACGTGAAACTACGGGACATTTTTCCACTTCGGAATAGCGGCCTCTATCATCTCTTAAAATTTTGGTAATAAATCGTTAAATGGGTGAAGAAATGTCTTTTGGTATCGAAAATTAAAAAAAAATTACTTTTACTACACTTTTTGAAAAATTGATGGAATTTAACTTTAGCTTGGAATGGCTCATACATGAACCTATCCCCGACCTCTACATAAACCTACTTGCCTCTACGGAAATGTATTTAATTGATTCGACATGGAAACAGACATATTGTGAATCATAACCATAAATAGCAAACTTCCTTTTCATTGTTATATAAATTTGTCTCACTCATCACTGAGTAAAAATATAAACTTTTATCTTTATCTATGACAATTCATACCTCAACCCATGCTAACTATATCTAACATGACAATGTTTAAATTTTTTTAAAAAATTCGCCACTGTTTTCCGTTTTTCCATTTGCGGCGACTTGACAGACTGGAGTTTTGTCACAGATAGTACGTAAGATAATGAATGCCTTGTGACTTCCACCACCAACTTTCCAAAATCTTCACAGATATATTTCAATATATTAATAACTAAACTAAATATTTAACTATAAGTTAAAAATATGTGGCTAACTTTTTATTACAGTGAACTCAATCTCAACTCATTATCTCACTCTGAATCGTGCAGAAAAATTCAGGTTAAAACAATCACAATACAATTTACGTCAGTGTACCATAAACTATGAGGAAATGAGAAATTGATGACTTCGAACCATTATCAACCTTACTACGGATTAAAAATCAAACAAAAAAGAAATTAAAAACGATCAGCTCTTTAACTGGCTTTTGTTTGTGATTATCAAAAGTTGTTCAAACCTGATGCTTACGTTAAACTTAAGCAACTATCGAAGGTCTAGATATACCCGTGTTATTATTTGCAAGACATCAGCATGGAAAAATGAATGACTCAAATATACAAATGAGAATTGAATTCAAATGAGAATTGAAGCAATTTTGTGTGGATGTACTAAATGTGAATATGTTAAATGAATATTTGCTGCAGATTTGCTAGAATTGTGAATTAGCTAATATAAACAAAAAAATTGTTTCGAAAAGCGAAAGGCGTTTCTATAGACTTGGTTCTTATATTGTCTTTTGATACTACAAAAATACTGTTTGTCCTTTAATTGAGGACCCTGTATTTTGCAAACTCATACAAAAATAAATGGCCGATTAAAAATTATCCATCAAAACAACTTTTTATTTGATATACTGGGATCATGATTTGAAGCCTTCAAAAAAGAGTCTATTAAAACTCAACTATCAGTTCTCACCCATATTTAGTCGAGATATCGGTAGGATGTTTTGAAGAAACTCGTATGAATACAGTTCTTGATTGTGTGTAGCCTGTTTTTATGTTTTTACAGCCGTACTCTGAACACCTTTTTTATTTGTTTATTGTTTGTTTGTTTTATTTGTTTGTTTTACAATCCGTTTTTTGTACTTTCATGAAGAATATATCTATGCTAGCGACAACGATGCCATAACAAAAATATCATTAAATGGGATATTTTTGTGTACGAGTCATCGTACTGTTTAATAAAGATAAAAGCAAGTTTCCAAAATTCATTTTTTTTTTTCGTTTTAACAAAACGCCTATTTTTTAAATTTGTTGAAAGAGAGTAACAATATCTCTCCGTGCCACAAAATGAGTGAATGTGTATACATGGAATATATTCGGTTACAAATTCTGTTGGGCTCCATTATATTCTGCTGTCAAAGGAATCGACTTCCATCAACAAGATAATATTTGTTCCTATAAATACAAACTTAAGGATTCTAAAATTGAAGTAAAGTTATTAAAATATCTGAACTCGGTATGAAGATTCTTTCTCGAATCATCCTCATTAAACTTCTATTGATCATTGAAGTTTTATCACTTCTTCAAGGTTAGTATCATATTTTTTGCCACTAATTGGCATACTATTGTCATTGAGTTTATGTATTCATAAATAAATCAGATGTACAAGTTTGTTGGTCCAATTTGTGCTGTGCTATTTGTTTTACATCAATCGATAATAATAACGAATAATTTCGTTTTTAACTCGTGCAGACAGACTTTTTATTTGTGTGCTTTAGAGCAGAGGTTGTGCGACCTTTGACCCGTGGGCCAAATAAAAATTGTGCCTCCCGCGGAAAAACTGCCAATTTTGAAAAATGCGCGGCCCACGAAATGATTTTTTGGTTTAATTCAGTACGTGCAAGTAATTCCAATTCCCTTGCGTTGCGAAGCCTATACCTGAGTCAAATTTATTATCTATTCCTCCATTTATGACATTACAATGCCCCAACAGCTAGCTTATGTGCAAACAACGCATCTCTCAAAGCCTATGATAAATAAAGGGGAGACCCGCAGTTTCACTCAGTTAATCCGATCTGTATTAAAGGTTACACTTGCTTTTAATAGTTTTTCGTAGTTATATAAAGTATACAGTGTTAAAAAGGAACGCCAAATTCAATCTTTAAAAGATTTATTTATTTCTTAAATACAATGAAGTAGTTTTTAAATATGAAGTACGGTATTTGTTTGTTTGTTTCATCTCTCTCGTCCTAGAAATATGATGCGAGAGAGGAAAAGCACGCGCAATCGTCGTCTATAATGGCCGAGTGGCTTAAGCCGTGGGACTTGAAATCCGATGGTATATTCCCCGCTCCCAGGGCTTCGCTCTATTCAAATTTACTAATAAGTCTCATTACCCAATTTTTTGTGGCTTCTGATGCATTATTTTTCCATGAGTAGTAATTTTTCACCAAATTGATCCTTTCTTTGACATGCCCAACTGGAAAACTTCACTCACGAAAAAAATGAATGAGTGCTCACGATTGAATTGAACGCTTATGATAACTATGGTAACAAAACGTAAAATAAAATCTAAAATCTGTTTTGAGAATGAAGTATGATGATTTAGATTTTCATTTTTTAAAGTTTTACTGGAATCGCTACCTGTGATGTGATTCGTTGCGACGACGAAAAGTTTTGCGTTACATTTTTGACTTCCTGCAATCGTACCTATTGTTTAATACAATGCAAGACAATGTTTTTTTTTTTAATTTCGATTTTAGTTTATAATTGTTATAATTTCATCATTTGGAAATTAAAATCTACTGTTAATGATGTCGCCTGAATTGATGCAACAAGTTTTAGAGTAATGACGTCATAGGTCACATGGGTTTAAATTAAATTTGCCTGAATTACGCAATGGTTGCTAATCAGATGTTTCTATAAAATAACAAAAAATCTCTCTATTTTAAAAAACAATTATGTCATTATGCCTGGGAGAAAACATTATATTTTGTTCAGGAAGAGGCCCTGCCCCTTATCACTTTTTAAATGATTACTTTGCGTACTTTCATCATTGTGAAAAAATAAACTATTGACTTCCAAACAGAGGCGAGGCAATACTGACTTCATTTACCCGATCGTCGTTCCAAAAAAATGCGGGGACATCAGCTGACTAGTAGTGTGAATCACAATGCAACTCTGATAGTACAATGTGTCAAAGCTAGAATAGTAAAATAAATAGCTTTTGTTGATTGCGTACTATTAAAAATATTCGCCAAATTATCTTCTTTCTCTGTTATCAAATGAATACATGTTTCTGAAGAATTTTTGAGACATTAAAAAACTTATTTGAATAATCTAAATATCGTGTTAACAGGAGAGAAATGCATGGTGCCTAAGCTGTGTAATAATAGACCAGTGTGGGACACATTCCGTGGTCATGAAACGGTGAGGTTTTATACTTGTTGACTGCATTTTTTTCTATAAATACGTATATAGATAATTCAAATTCTATTTAATAGCATCGATAATATATTTATTTATTATTTACTACTAACTCACTCACGCCTAATGTCGTTTTCAGAAATTTTACAAGAAATTTTCCCAGGTGACGTCACAGTCATTGTTTGTTTAATATTTTTAATATAAGGCATTTTTATGATTGAGTATTTCATTTACTCCTTCAACAATATTTGTAATACATAAGAGAAAACTATGTAAGAGACTATTCATTTTTATTTGAGATTCATTTATTTCGTTTCAGAATGAAGACTTGGAAATAAGGGAAAAAGCTATAAAAGGTTTGCGAAATAAAAAATACATTTTATGGCTCACAGCATCTTTTAAAAGTTTTCGTTATCAAAATTAAACTTTACTATTAAAATATTAAATTTTAGGTTTTATTGCAAGATTAAACAAAAAAAAAACGATTAATTACAACAAAACAGCCTTAGGTTGATGATGTCTATTATTCTAATTTTGAAAAAAAAATATTTTCGAACTGAAATAAAACAAATGATATTTCATTGACTAATGGTGGCAAAAACACTTTTAGACTAATGACGTCATAGGTCACTTGGGTTTAAATTAAATTTGACTGAATCACGCAATGGTTGCTAATCAGATGCCTTCTTTAAAAAAGTAAAAACAATCTCTCCATTTTATCAACCATTCTAATTTTAAAAATACCATCAAACTGAATTGGAACAAATATTAACTTATTGAGTAATAGTGGCAAAAACAGTTAACTTTAGATCAGTTTTTAATTTCTATTCCTGGTATTTCAGATCGAATTGATGAGTTGGCTAACCTAATAAATCTTCTACAAGATAAAGTGGAAAAAACGGACACAAGAACCGGGGCGACTACCGTAACGGATGTAAAAGGAACAAACGCGTCACGGGGTAAGAGTCAACAACTGTTATTTGCAGTTTTCTTTTTTGTATTCAACTGACAAACAACTATTGTTCAAGAAAGATTTGCAGTTGTACTAAATTAATACTAAAAAAGGCTGTTTGTTATTGGCGATAAAATACTGAAAAATTTTATATTAGGAATAATCAGTATTCAATAATTTATTTTTTCACCATGCTGAAAGTACGAACAACATAAAAATAATCGCATTCCAGGGTGAAAAGAGACGCTGAAAACCAAGTATGGTTATCGAGCGGCGGCACCCTTGGGGAAGTTTAACAGAAACGTAATAAAAAAATAAAAAAATATATTATTTAATAAATAAATAAATGAATAAATAAAAGAAAAAATACGTCAAAGCAACCTGGTACATATCAAGCAGTTGTCAGTTCAACTGAAGAAAATCGACTCCATGCTACACAGTCTAGGTAACCATGGGAATAAATGGAATAGCATAATTTTGTTCAAAAAATTATCGAGTATATTTGTAAGCTTTTGTCGGATTACTATAAAAACAACCACATACCCTCTTAATAAAATTCAACTCCACGATAATGGACTTTGCGACACTTACTCGAAAAATAGGACCGTCGAACATTTATAATTACTGCTGCTATGACATCCCAAGATTATTTTTAATCAATCTTGCAATAAACTGTAAATATATTCAATTTACCAACAAATCTTAGAATAATATATTTTGTTATAGAATACCTTCTCATAACGGAAATAGGCATTTGAACACCCAACGTATATTATCATAGTCCGCGATGCACAAAACTACGGCAGTTATAACTGAAAATATTAATATTAAAAATAATAATAACATACGGACACAGAGTAGGAGGTAAGCAAGGACAATATGCTAGTATCACCAGTATTCGATTTTGACCACCCTTTACTTGTCACTCTATTTACTCAATATCACTACAAATACTACACACATCATCCAAGTAAATATTATTTCTGATTTAAATTATATTTTCACCAGAATATAATAATAAGAAGTCTTCGTTAGTCACAACTCCAACTGTACCTGCAGTGGACGGCGGACAACAGCTGATGCTCTTTTTTCTACATTTTTACGAACCACAAAAGCAGAAATTCTTGAATTAGACACAACACAGATTTAGAATTGTGTTTTTATTAGCTTTTTTTTTCCATTTTAAAGTGGCTTCAATTTCAATTACCATATGAAATAGGCTACACTAGTATGGCATGTTTGCTTTTACATAAGTAATACTTGATTACTTGATTAGAGGCAGAAATCGTTATTTGTAATCATGGAATAATAATAAATATTATAAATACATTAATTTACTCGATGTTTTAGTATATATATACCATTTTTCATAATTCGAATTTAACTCGATTTCGCCCTTTAAATTTTAGATTTATGAGAAATAAAAGTTATAAAAAGCTTCAAATACTACTTTAAATACTCCTAATTACAGGAAACGCGGGTACGACGAGTTCTCCAGTTGCTACTTCGACCGCGTTCGCAACAATTCCTGAGGCTCACCCTTGGTCATCCACCGATGCATCGCTTCCCACTATGATTTCTGAAACTAGGAATTACGAGAAGCTGCAATTGAGCACAATTAAGGGTAAGCGTCCTTCATTTAATTCATATTATTTGTCTTGTTTGATCTGAATACGTAAGCGAAACAAGTGGATAGATATCTATTCCAGGTTATTCCCACGCTGTTGGTGTGCAGAGTTGCTACGCAATGAATAGAGTTCTCCGATTTTTGCGTTCTCTGTCAGCAAACCAACATTCGGTCCGATAGGTTGATAGAGAGCTATTTCCCGATTGAGCTCGCAAGAATCAAAAACTTATCAGTACACTATAACTTCGTAACAGAAAACAAAAATAAACAGATTATTTCTTCTATAGAACTTGAACACGAAGAGACTAAAATTCCAGATACGCCACAAGAGGATATGACTACAATCTCCTTAGAGGGAGAACTGTTCGTTACAGCAACTGCAGGTACATTATAATTTGATAATTTGAGTCATATTAAGCTGAAATGGTAGAAAAATAGTAACGTGCTACCATTGATGTCGTTTTAGCTGCATTCCGCTAAGTATTAGAAACGTTTTGACAGTCAAGTGAATATACCCCTGCCCATAGGTTTCAGTCCCTTTACACAACTTGATGTAAAGTAGAAACACAAAATTTTTTACCCTCGTATTGGTACACATACTTCTGGAGCGCCCAATTGATACATTGCGCAATAATGACAAGATCTAAAACAAAACAAAACGAGATAGTATAACAGAAATTCATTTCTACTGTCCATTGTGGAAGTTGATCTTATAACAGAGTATACTTCTTGCCTTTACATAGCGGTTCACGTAATCGTTTGTCGGTTGCTGTTTAATCTATTAACCCCGCCAAAAGGCTGTCTTTAAAGTCGTATTATTGGCCAATGAAACCCTAATAAAGCCTTTGCAATATGGGCCCAACCACATTGTTATTCTCATCCTGACAAGTAACATGTCATGCGGTCGTGTTCAGCGGCATAAAGCAGTGAAATCAAAAATTCCGAGCTATCGCAGCCGGAATAAAATTTTATAATTAAAAAAAACTAAATATTTTTTACCTGTTCGACTTCAAGCTCTGTTGTAATTTATTTTAGAAAAATGTGGCTTCACGTACAATTCAAAATGCTTTCGGGCGATTGTCTATAAAACATGGAATGTCACTTTCAGCGATGCCCAATCGCTTTGTGGAAACAATCTGGCTAACATTTATAACGTCGAGCATTATAGGCGGATGCAAGAATATTTACACTCAATGATTCCCGATGGACTGAAATTCATTGCAATTTATACCGGAATGACTTACAAGAACGAGGTAAATTGAAATATTATTGAATATAAATCACGTTTCATATGTGATCATGAATATTAAACTAAGTTAAACTTGTAACCATTGGAGTTAACAACATTTTAAGTTAAGCATGTTAAGTTTATCATTTTTTACGTGTCATTGTCGTTTAGTTTCGATGGCGATTATAGGTCCTCATTTATATTCGTCAAAGACGAGTTCATTTTAACGACGAACATATAACAAAAACTTTGACTCTTAATTAGAAATTTTTTATTAGAAAGTATTTAGTCAGTAAAGGTAACATTATTCACTTAGTATAGTGGACCATCGTTGTCACTAATAAAATTTGAAAAACATTAAAAAAGTAAAATAAAAAACTGAAAAAAAAATTTTAAATTTTTTTATTTTATTTCCGGTTTATTTTCCTTTTTTTTATTTTTTTTTTTTTAAACGTTCTCATTTTATTTTTACTTTTCAATTTTTTTATTTTTTTTTAAATTTTACTAGTGACAACGATAGGTCACCATAACTCAGTATTTTATATGAAAAATCGCTATTTAGTTTGGTCTTTCAACGGTATAAAGCAATTGTTAAATTCTGAATTCACACACACACACTTCGCATGTGATGAATATTTAGTTAAGAGTCATATTTCAGTCACCAGATTTTATATTATTTTATATAAAAAGTAAATTTAAATATTAGTTTATATCTAACTTTACAAATATAAAAAACAATCTCTCTATCGTTGTTAGGGCCAATTTCTAACGACGTCGGGTGAAGGTGTAGATTTGTCAGAAGAATTGTGGCATCCTGCTTTTCCGTCGGCATCGAATCCACGTGTTGGTATTGATGTCAATCGATTGCTCACTAATCAGGGGATTATCAATCAAGAACCAACCTACAAACTCAATGGCGCCATTTGTGAATTCAACTTATAACTGAACTTCACCAAAGCATCGATAAATAAACTGGGGCCACAAGAAACTAATTTGAGAGTAATTATTGCTCAACCATGTATCTAGGTTTATACTTGCCGAATCTATTGCCCATCAATGATTATGGACATGTATGCTACACTCTATAAACCATTTCTTGTGAACCGCTAAAAAAGCTTCGCAGACCGTCATCTGTTTGCATCTTTTTGCGAATTCTAGACTAATACTTGAGCAATCTATTGTTCATTGAAGAATATTTATGCTACATTTTGTAAATCATTTTTTTAATCTTTAATATATAGATATAAAGTTCGGTGGACACGGAATATATTCTATATTAGAAACATTTTGTAAGAGTACATCGACAAGGTCAATTTCATCGAAACTTCTCATACATGTTTATTTGATGAATTTGACTACTGAGGCAAAGTCAAGCCAGAATTTTTGTTTCATTTTGTATAATTAAATAAGATAATAACGATATCACAACATTATTTAGTTTTTACATTGTTTTTACGATTTTTTTTTATGAACGAACTGTATCTTTCTCACTTTTTCTCGATTTATAGCTTAATTCAAAATAGTGTTTTATACTCGAAATTAATGAAAGGTTCTCCACAATCTTATTCTAATGACTAATTCTAAAATACATTTTTTATAGTGAATTTGAATGTAATGTTAAAATTTAAACAGTATTAAGCATTGAATCTAAAATTTGTTGTTGAAGAAAACAAGTGGAAGTTTTATCACTCGAATTTTGATTTCAAATCAAAAATTCAATTTTTTTTTCTTAAAATTCAGTGCGGTTATCTGTATGCTTTTCTTAGGAATAAAGTAAAGTTGAAAAATTTTAAATTTTTTTTCAGCAAGATTCTTTGTAAAGTATGATTATTTGTTTCTGTAAGATTACTTAATTCTATTATATTTTATTTGTTAGATGTTATTTTTAACAGATTTTTTAATGGATGTATTTTTAAACAAACTGTTTATTGCAAATTTATTTTGATATTATTCAACAATGTAGGTTCTCGACCGGGAAACCGTAGCTCCCTAAGAGAAAGCTGTAGAATGGGGTCACAATGAAAAGAAAACTCCCCGATATTCATAGTTTCATTGCTTTATAAGGATTTTCCACAGGGTGTTTTCATTTTGTTGAGCATAAATTGTTTGAACATAATGGGATTTGGAATCTACCAATCCAAATAACACTATAAATAACACTGGAATGATAAACAAAGGGATCATGAGTACTGGCCATGAAAGGTTGGGAGCCACTGATGTAGGTAATTGATTTATAGAGCAAATGATTCCAAAATTTACATGTTTTGCAAATAGCATTTCAAAATTCAGTATAGGGTACTGTTTACTAATGCTTTCGTAAGTAAATTAATTTCTTTGGTCATCACTAGTTTACTAGTAAGATGTGTTTTAACACGTTCTGTTAGAATAAATTTTGCGTTTTACACTATCATTATTGGTTTCATATCGGAAATAAGTTTTAAATATTTTTGTCGCAATAAATAAAATTGTACAGTAAATGTGTTTTTAATTACTCAGTGTGAAAATTAAGTCAAATGAAAACTGACTTACATAATAAGTGAATACTTATTTAAATTAGATTGTCGCGTTATAGAAAAAATCACCCAAATCAGAAAATAGAATTTAGTTGAAACTGCCCCAAAATATTTGATTCGTTGTTTGTATAGGTTATAATACTTCATTTTATTTACATTATTAAGTCAATAATATGACTCGGCAACGCCAAAAAAATCTAAACCGTCATAAAACTGAGTTTAAGTTGTTTTTGAAAACCCTTACGGCAAACGAAAAACCGTATTTCAAAACTGATTATCAAAACTAGTAATTATTATCAACGAAAATGGATACTCGATTTACATGACTTATGTTAAGTATTATAAATGGAAAATTAAATTATGATACAGACATTAGCATTAAACTAACCCCTAACTAACCCTAACCCTAGCATTAGCATTACAATTTCTTAAACCACAGTACATAACGAAGATAAACGAAACTTTTGAGAAACTTTCAAGTAATAATTCGATTACCTATGTAAATACTAACCCTCAATCAGCTTTGACATCTCTCACAAGAAAGTTGTTTTTGTGTAATATGAAATCGTTTTTTTTGTCTAGATCAGCACGCCATGTAACTTTTTTAATTGTAAAAAGGAATGAAATACTCTAATCAGTAGACTAGAGTGTATAATAGGTCTTTGTGCGATCCGATTCGTTTCCTATTTTTTTAGGTTTGAATTGTGTTGTAACTTATGATAGATGACAGGGCAACAAATTAAATCTTTACTTTTTATAGAGCAAATGAATTTGTTTCTAGTTAAAAGTTTATCTGATTTTATTTTCAATTCTCTTCGATATGAATACCAAAAGCCCGAATTAACGGGACATACTAAGAAGTTCCCAGTACCCCATTATGAGGTCTTTGAAAAATAATAATGTTCAAAATTAGACTAAGATATCCGTTCTTTAAAACCACTTCCATCGGTGTTTTAAAACATGTATATCAATTGGCAGATGCCTAATTGGAATTTAATCTGTATCGCTCCATTCAACTCTTCAATAAAAATCTCTTCAAAATTATAATTCCAGTAATTGAAGTAAATATGAATACAATAAATTTAAAATACGTCAGTGTATAAGATGATGAGGCACTAACTCTTAACTATGTTTCTAACGATGAGCAGAAATATTGCTACATAAATAAATCTTTAAGTCAAACAATTATCACAAAGTCTAAGCCAGAAATCGGAAACAAAACTAAACTAGATTTCGAACGTTACGTTTCGAAATTACAATCACAATTTCTCTTTTTTCCCTGGTCAAATAACTTATAAATGGAATTGTGTGCGATTCTAGCTGTTTGCAATCCTACAATTTGTTTTTTATTAAACATCACCCAACTGAAACGAGTTGCAAGTAGCTGCAATATTAAACCTATCAACATATGTATGTATTCTTTCGGCGTATCAACCCATATGAATACCCACCAAATTTGAAATCATTTTCTTGTAATGACGTAGGAACTCTTGATCGTCATGAAATTCGATCCAAGTGAAGAAACATAGTGAACTCCAGTGAACAAAGTCGCGCCAGATTAAAGAGTTAAATGATATTTACAATCTATAAAGTTGAACTAAAACCGAAAATTTTTCTAAATTTGACACATTTGGAATAATAATTATTTGAATATGTAATGTCGAATATATTATAAATTAGGTGATATTCAAAAAATATAAAATTTATTTGTAGATCACAATGCGTTCAATTTTTAAAATTACTAATTTGAAATAAAATATTCTATATTATTGTTAAAATCAGAGCTGAAGCAAATGTAACCAATTCCAGTTGCATTCGAATTTTCAAATCGTTTTGGTCACCGCCACCATCCCTCTCTTGGCCAATTAGTTTCTGAGAAATCGTATGACATTGATAATCGTATGACAGAACCCAATATTGCACTAAATGTCCCTATTAAATTGGATTTTTTTTATGTAAGCTATTTTTGAAATATTTTAATGGCACAATGGTTCAACATGACGAGACATTAATAAAATAACGAGTTTCCATCATATAATTTATTTTTTCTGCATTACTTTAGTGAAAGAGATGCTTCAAAACGTCGCTTATTTTTATTCCCTGTCTGGTTTTCATTTGAGCAATAGAGTCAAAGATATCTCAAGCGATATAAAATGTGAGAAATGGACGAAATATTAAAAATTAAATTTGACTATAAACAAATCATTTATACAAAAAATTCAAAAACATACGAATGTTTATACAATATAGATGGGCCTTAGAATCGAAGGTTGGGAACCACTGCCTTGGATAAATAACACAATTTAATTTTTTTTTTTTTTTTTGATAGATTTGATTATTTTAAAAGCTAACTTGAATGAGAAAAAAAGCTAACATGAATTTGAAAATTATGGAAGACTAGTCATATAACATAAATAAATCGTACATTGGGACGCATATAACGTACAATTGCACCTGCGATCGATAATGTATGAGTACACATCTCCGTGGATGCAAATGTATGTGGGTGCAATCAAAAGTCACGTTTTGTCATTTTGTGATATTAAATAGTGGTAATATTTAGGTTTATTTATTGACACAAAATTTAATCATCCTTATTTGTAATCCTTATCGAGTGAAAATCCTGGTTTGAAATTCTTACTAAAATTGGACAACATACGATATTTTGTTTATACCGAATGACCAATGGCACCGGGCCAACTGTTGGACATTGGACCAAACTTGACAGTTGACGCGCTTAGAGGCGGACGTATTTTCTCTTCTCTCGCTTGTACAATTAATGAGTTGCTAAAGCGCCAGTAGTCTAGCTGACTTTGATATCTTAATACTGTATCAGCATATCGGTGCATATCGTCGATTTTGCCACTCAACGCTTTATAGTCAGTTAGTTTATACCAAATAAAATGGCAGAAGTACAAGGAATCAGCTCAGCTTCCGTTGACACCAGTATCCTGCAAAAACTGGACATTATTCAAATGAAGCAGAAATCTCTTGAAGATAGATTTCCGACGGAGGCAAGCCAAACACCTATAAGTAAATCTCCTAAATCAAAGCGAAGAAGCAAAGCACGTCATCTACATCATCACCATCATTAATAGGAGAACTAAAACAATTCGCATCCGAAATCAATGTAATAAAATCGTTAGTTGAGAAAATTAATAGAAGATCCAAAGAAAATGAGATAAAAATAGACAACCTCGAGCAATACGGTAGACGGAACTGCCTTATTCTCCACGGATGTAAAAACATTCCGCCGTCTAAACCGTATCAGAGATTTGAGATGTTCGTAGCGAGGACTCTAAATACAAGTCTGAAACTCAAATACCCTGTTCAATTTGGCGACATTGATACAACACATATTCTACCAAAGAACTTTAAAGGAAATATACCGATCATTGTCAAATTTATACGTCGATGCGTTGAACACCA